AATTTAATTCTAATTTATGCACATACCTCGTTTCAGCGTTCTTATGTGGCACATTCCAATCTTTTTCAGGGATTTGACCACTTCGCAATATTGATTGCAAATGCTCAACTTCAGTCAGTGACGATGCAGATGCAATCGCGTCCTTCAAATGCATGTTTATAATCAGATTTTTTCAATGAATTTTTATTACTGCAGTAAAAAAGAAACATCTATTCGAAAAATTATTTCAACTCAATATGATTTCAAGAAAAAAATCATGTTGTTGGGCTTAAGATTGCAAAAGGAGTGCCACAGATTTGAAAATATTCTTTATAAATAAACTGGAGTCGTTACTGTTTCAAAACCTTGAATAATGCGACTGATGGAAAAAATATAATGAAGAAAAGAATGAAAGAAGAGCATCGACCGAAAAATGCAACAAACCCGGATCTTCTTCGTTTCCTCTTTACCGCGCACTGTTTCGGACGATTCAGTATTATTCGTACGTTCATCAGAAATCGGTATCGATTTCTTCACTAACTGCTCGCGGATTTTTTGTCCTTTTTTACCTTTGAACAATGCTGCAGCTTGCTTGCGTTCCTTAAAAAAGGCGCACAGAATTTCACCGAAACTCTAGAATTTAGCTGATGTGATTGAAAAAGGTAAACTTATTCTAGTGTATTGAACAATTCAAGTTTAGACATAGATTTTGCTGACTCTTCGGTTTGAGCCATACAGTGACTAATGTAAACGTGATGTAAACAATTGTTGACAAGAAGTTACAGTTGGATAAAAACTTGAAAATAAAACGAACGAACCGCCAATCGAACCCTTCTAAAGTCAAGCACACGCACTGAGGGCACCTTGTATATAACATAAAACCGATATTGTGATTTATGAGTAACAGGATTACCGACCAAACTGTAAAATTTAAACAAATGAATACTCTCATTCATGAACTGTTGTCACACTGTCCAATCAGAAAACAGAATGTTACTTACACTGAACTTTCCAATCAAAAGTTGATACTATGTGCGAAAAAAACCCAATCGTTAGTCTCTTTAATGAGCTGTACACAACGTTGAAGGACGAAGTTAATGAGAACAATGAATACGTTGTCTACAAATAAACAAATATGCACTCACGTTAGATATTCCAACTTTTTGCACGTTCCCAACGGATCAATGTCGCCGAGCTCACATAAATTATTATTGGTTAATGCAAGCGTTCTTAATGATGGTAGCACCTCACCAATATTCGGCATTATTTGCCTATAATCATTGGTTTAATTCCAAATTCATGTAATCACTGCACAAAGGTTTTAAAGCTCTTCTCGAAAACTAAAGAACAACACTCACTGAACGCGATTATTGTGCATAAGCAGGCAACTGAGTCTTTTCAGAAGTGGAATATTCTCTAGCTTTCGAATATCGTTGTCTGTCAAATCAATTGTGTCGTACTGATCCTTAAATGATAATCAATCACACATCATTCAACTGCTACTCACAAACATTCAGATTCATTGAAGCCGAAAGAGTGCATTTGTGATAATTGAAGCATGAAAAAGTTTAATGAATATAAAGAATTGATAGAAAATTGGAACCAAATAGAATATGAGCTTAATAAGCAGAGATATAAACTAACCCGCGTCACACCTAGATTCTCAAGTACGGGAATTTTGCACGCACGAAGACTCAGTTCACGTTCTCTTACTGTGTTGATATATTGTAAGGAATCATTGATTAAATCCACCGTTAAACGAACCATTTCGAATCCCTTCACTGAACATATAAATGACAGAAAATTTTTTCAATCAAAAATTAAGAATGAACTGATGAAAGCATACACAAATAGAGAATAAAGCATTTGATGAATTCTTCATTCTCAACTGAATAAAAAGAACATTCATGCTGGTACTTGCTAATATATTAATATCGATGATATAGTAATGGTACAATATATTCACACCGATTGAAACGGTTTTCTCGGAGAGAATAATTATATGGTACAGAAGTTCGACTGTAATATTTTTATTATCAAATGATTCCATGAAAAGAAAATCGAATGTTCACAACAATCAATATAAAAAAACCATACACAAAAAACAAACATCGCAACTCTCTGAACAGTTCCATTCGTTCCTCGAATGGATCTCTCTTCCAAAAAAAAACCTGAGAAGACAATAATCCCTGCCCCTAAGAGATCTATCCTTTTTTCTCTCGAAGGTCGAGTAACTAATGGCTCTCCGGCTTTCTATCGTTAAAATATGGCAATGCACCTAAGGTAGCACTGCATACTGAATAGACAACTCTTACGCCAATGATAATAATGATGTTCGGATGAAACATAGCAGCTGCACATTTGCTTTATCCAATAAATCAGAATGATGATTTTAATGAATGTGATGACAACAACACTCAAATTAACATTACTATACTTTTTCATCTCCCACCTGTAACAAAAACTAACACTTCTTGTTTGTATGATTTTTTGATGTTAAAAATGTAAAAAGGTCACAATGATATGATGCAAAAAATCAAACATACACACTGAACAACCGCAAACAACAATAATACTAACAACAATTATAATAATAAAAATAATAACACAAAAGGCTGATGAGAACAATTAAACGATGACTCGGTTAAATTGAAGATACGACAAATATCGATACGATGAATACGGTAAATATAAACAACGGTAACCACTGCTTCAAAAATCCGCCAAAGCTGAAACGAAATTATCAGGATCAGTTACTTTAAACGATTACTTAAAAAATCATCAGAAATAATCTATCTATCAATGGTTCCGAAATTCACGTCGCGTCAGAACAGACCAAAAATAATTTCAGTAGTTCCAACAAAAACAATAAACGCATTCGTCAGAAAGAAATGAACGAACCCAACGTAACGCCCTTTAAGAAGAATCATTGCTGTTAGATAAAACATATTATAATTCTGTCGTTGTGCATATCGCATTTCATTTAATGCCAACGCAACATGAGAATGACAATTGTCACAGATTAGATTGTGCTAAAATCGCATACTTTTTTATAAATGCACCCGTTATTTCTTGTAAAATAATTTGATGATCATTAAAAAAGTGAAGGTACGTAAGATACGTTTTTCTAACGTTTGCAAATCCAAGATGTAAAAATAACGTGACATCACTACTAACCACATGACCTTTGTATTCATCGGACGCACTTCGAACAGCTCGATCCCAATTCTCAGCACCGCCAGGAACCTCACTAACATCCAACTTTAAATATCTTGTTGGCCATCCGAATGCCATATCGTCTTCCTTGAATTAAAGGCAATTATCTTATTCGAAAAGAGNTCGAAAGCTCAACTGAAGAAAGACTTTTGTTCCCTCGAAAGTTTAAATGAAAAAGTAGAAAATTGTTCATAAGAATGAGCTGAATTAAGTAACTAACGTTCACACAATAACTGCCGGCAAAATCACGAATCACACCTCGACTTGTCGCTATACCCATATGACCGATAAATGGAAACAGCCACCTAGATTGAAATTCAAAAATGAATGAAATATAAAAACTGGAATGTCAACCATAATTTCGGATGACAAAATATCAACAGTTTTGTTAGATCGCCACGAGTCATTGTATATGCATATTTTAACACTTTCAGCCAGTTACATGCACTTGTGTTTTGGTGTTCTGGAGGTGAAATGATTTCTGACTGACATTCAGCTAGAATAAAACCCGAAGCGTTTAACTAAAACTTGTTCAAGAGCCTACTGGTAAGAACGAGGAGGAACATGCAGAGCACAATTTGACTACTCAAAGCAAATAAAGTTTTGAGAAGCCAAACTGCATGAACAAAAAATTGTAACATTAGCTCGGATGGTAAAATATCAACCTCCCACTAGTTTGTTTTTTTTTCGACAGCTTGTCCTGTCTTTTATGAACATTTGCAAAATTTGATCGAAATGAAGAACAGAATGCACTTACGTTAGAATTGGAATTGGAGTCCAAACAATGCAGAACGGAAAACGTCTTCTCGCGGGACTTACATCCATCTCTGTCGCTGATATAGATTCAGAACAATACGGGTTCTCAGTAACATTCATCGCAGATTTGCGGCAGCATACATAATTATTAAATGCTCATATTTCACCAACGTTAGCGTTAGAAATTACTACTACTTAATTATCTCATAGCAATGCTATGCTTTATTCAACACTGAAAAAAACAAGTTCAGTAGCAAATCACTGCAGTCCAGCAAATGAACGACTCCACTCGGAATGTTTCCTATGAGCCGTGACTGTCTCAAAATGAGTATGGGGGAAAGGTCAATCCCCCTACTCTCCATTAAGGCACATCGGACTTGAAATTCAAATACTCCGCCCTGTGCTCTGACGCGTTTTTATGGCAAATTGCGACGACGCCCGTGAAGCGGGTGACCGACAAATCCGTTCGCGACGAATTCGTACTGCGTCATTTTGAAGCGCATAGTCGGTCAGGAAACTTCATTTGGGTTCGACTTTTGAGCAATGCGTACGCATGTTCACCGTTGTGTGCTTGTATTAGGAAATGTGATGTATTTAGAGAATATTTATCATGGTTTTATCATTGTATAAGCGTGACACGTTCGTGATGCTATTAATCAGTGAACTTAATTGAGTAGTTGAAGATTATTGATGATATTCCTATTGGCAGTTGTTTTGACAGGGTCACTTGGGGCTTCGAAAGAGCTGTCGTTAACGAGAATTGCAAACGAGTGATGTTTTTTTCACAACATCATAGATAATCTTGCGCTTAAATGTGTTTGTGAAAGTGATCCGTGTTGCAAGCAACCGCCCAAACTGTGGATGAGCTTCATTCCTGTACATTCAGCTTCGGTGAGGTTCAGGCCCGTGGTGAGCCACAGTGGAATGCAAGGCTTAGACTTTGCTTAGGCTGGTGAATAAGCCGACCACTTTTATTGAACACTTTAACTATGAGATTACTACTAGGGTTTGCACGGGATCCCGGGATTTTAGTTCTAATCCCGATCCCGGGATTTAAGTATTGAAAATCCCAGAATTTCGGGATTTGATAAAACAGGTCAATTTGCGTGAATTTTGATAGTATGCTCATCTTGAAGCAAGCCTTAATCATTCCCATCTCATTCATATGCAATCATCTTTGTTGTTTGCGCTCTACCATTGGTGAATAGCTGAGGAAATAGACGCAAAATGGGCGAATGACATGATCAACGACAGCTCGATGAACTTTTACGTAATATTTCATTGATTATTTAACTGATTCTTCTGCTCTTCATTGCTTTATATCACGCTCATCTGGATGCATTTCTAAGTAGACTAACAGAGATAATCACATTTTCTAATAAGAACCAAGAGCAACAAAATTCAGCGAAATTTTGAGTCGTTTCCTCTAACGCGATTTTTTACGGCTTCAATATTCCATTTGTCAATTCAACTGCATGTTGTAAAGGCTGCAAGTCTTTTTACTTTGCTATTTGGAAACACTTTCATCCGATCGAAATGTACATTAATTCTCACTGAGTTCACTCATAGTGAGAATTCATTGTCGAAGTACGGGAAATTGTTCCATTCAAAAGGATCTTAAGCTTAACTATCAAGTACATTTCCATGATCTCTGATCGAAATCATCGAACATGTAAGTGCTCGATGATTCGATGAAAATCCATTGCGGATTTTTTTTTTCACTTTTTAGATAAACTGTGAACTTTTAATTTTTTCAAGATTCAAATGATATAATTCATGCGATGCATTTCTTTCGTAAAAAATCGAAGTTTCCGAAATGGCAGAATTCACCTGACGTTAATAATGCGAGAAATGGACTTGAAGCACTGCAAATAAGTGTTTGAGAATCAAGAATTTCATATTCACATGCTAGTGTGCTGTTAATAGCTTAGACCCGAGACGACAAGATGCCTTAGAATAGAAAATGCAGTATGCCCTTACGACATGATCATTAGCAACATTATATTAATTTGAATAATTTGTTTCCTCGAATTTGTCTAATAATTTGTTGAATTAACTCCTTTGATTAATAATAAACATATTGGTTCGAAAAAATGTGTTTGAACATGTCCCGCATCGATATTACAAAAATTGTCCGATCCCTGGATTATCGATCCCGGGATTGAAAAAAAAACGTTGGGATTTTGCAAACCCTAATTACTACCTTATGATATCGCTAACCTGAAGGAAAATGTTGCCGAATGTGGGCATTTATTAGATGAACAATATTAGTTTGAGTATTCGTTTTGAATTGTCGATGTACATCAGTTTATGTCATGTCGTTCTCCACCTCAACGGATCTAACAATGAGTCTTGTAATGGAGAAGGGAAGTGGTTCTTTTTTTCAGGCTGAGTGTGGATCTTTTCTGTGATTTTCGATTCGGTTAGAGATGGCGCTAGAGGGTGTCGCGGAATTCACGACAAAAAGATAGAAATCTGATATTCTGATTTGAATAATCCGTTGACTTGAACAAGAAGAACGCGATGACAGCTTCGTATTCAAACAGTGATTTTATTGATGACAATAATTCACAAATAATGAAATCACGGAGTAAAGAAACAAGAAAACTACTAGCACAATAATTCAAAATCAATGAACAAATACAATATTCGTAACGAGAGAACCAACAATTTTTTCACTGTGTCGAAATATTATAATTGGTTGGTCGAATTGTACAGAAGTTATCCGAGGTGTGAATTATTGTTGTGCTTAGATAAGAATATATATTGGAAACAGCGAATACTATAGATTTCAGACAGTGGATTTCAAACATTAACAGTGCTTCCAAATATCTCGTCAATAATCGAGATAGTCAAATATAACAGTAATTGCTAGAGCCAACTTTAGCAACTGACTCAGACTGAACGTTTTGATTAACACTCAGTTCAATATGTAGTCTGAGGAGATACTTGAGTTCTGAATATATTTCTCAATATATATCCAGCCTAACTGATAACGTTCATACTTGATAATCCACGAAATCTCCTCAAAATCTAATTACTAACTGTCTGTAACAATACTTTAGACACACAATGAAAAGATTTAACTAGCAAAACATTATTGTGATAAAAAAAATGTGCTTGAAAGAATTTGCTAGTAAATTCATGTAAATATTGCATGATTTAATTATTATTTCGCGATTTCCGCGATAGAGGAACTGTTTCTGTAAGCTTCATATTCCAACGTTCTGCGCCTTGTAATGATTATTGCACGTTGTTGTCGCAATAGTGTGAATTTCGTTTCGCTGAAGTTGTTTATTGTTCTGGTCGTTTTTTTTGAGCGGTGAAGTTGCCCATTTCAATTTTTTTATTGCGTGATCTTATGATTTCCTTTTATTACTATGCTTATGTTTTCATCATATTCAATTATTGACGATGAGTGATTCGTTGTTGACATCACTATTCCATTATTGTATAATCTCATGCGTTATGATCTTACAATTAGTATTTGATCCATTTTATTTAGAAGTGTTTATTGTTTCGCATCATTGTTTCAAATATTTGTTTTGTGTTTCAATATCAATTATAGATTTTTTTGTTTTTATACGGAAAGGTTTCTATAGAGTGAAAAATAAATGAATTTTTCGTATCTGATGTATTCACTCAACCGCAGAAAATCAACTGAGCTCTCATTAATAACTCGCATTATGAAGTGCAGTATTAGTGACAGCTTTTTACATATCTTAAATAATGGAAACATTACTGGTGTGTCGCATTCTGTTGCGGTTCATCAGGGGACATAACCCCAGGTTTGCCCCGAGGTCTTCAGTTCAGGCGGTTGTTTGCAGGAGCGACCCTATTCATGACGAATAAAGAGATCGTAATATATCGAGTAATACGCGTTTTATAATACAACCACACAACGGTGAACATGCGTACGCATTGCTCAAAAGTCGAACCCAAATGAAGTTTCCTGACCGACTTTGCGTTTCAAAATGACGTACGGATTTGTAGTAGTCTCCGTGAAACCTACCAAGTATGCCTGCAAAAAATTGCCAAAAGACAGAGCAGAAGGGTGTGTAAAAGGTTACGTCCGCCTTACGCCACCACAGACACTAGCCTGTTTGTGCTCTAGCCCACCCATCAAAATGGTTTTCGTGATCAGTGTGGTGCGGGGACAGCAAAAAAAGCGAGGGTGGATGTAGGAAATTGAGGAGGAAATTTTGCAGTCGGGGACCCCGAAAATGCGGTCTGTCGAGGGGGGAAGGAGGGAGAGGAGGAGGGGATTCGGGGACGAGGTCTCCGAAATTCCCCGACTATTAGTGTTGAAGGGACGGAAAAAAAGTCGGGGACGGGGAAAATCGAGGATGAAATTTCCTAACTGGGAGTCCCGAAAGTTCGAGGATGCGGGGACGGGGTCCCCGAAATTCTCGATCCTCGCATCACACAATTCGTGGCTGTGTCTTCAAATGTTAACAATATTTTGGGATTTCTTAAATGGATTGCATGAGCAAATCACAGCATAAAGAATCGAGTGTTTACCAAAACGAAAACATGTATTTTTTGAAGAGAACAAAAAACTTTATCATAATTTATAGTAAGTTTACAACTTTCAACAGACCTTGTCAAGAGCTCATGTCACTGAAATGAGTTATCTTATGGAATCTGATCAGGCGCACAGTAAAATAAAATGAGCGTTGATCCAATCGAGAATATAATTTCGCAATGACGACATCAAAATGATCCTATCACACGAAGCAGCATATTCTTACTCTACTCCTCTACTGATTTCTATCATTATTTCTATCGTTTAATATCTCGCTATAGCAAAACAATGAACCATTACTGTACACTAATGATGGCATGCGCGCGAAATTTTATGTCGGCCGGAGTTCGACTGATCTGACTTTTCATTATTTCGACATTCGGAATTCCGACCGACCTTTCAAATTGTTTGGTCGACATCCAAATTTCGGAATTCCGATCGAAATTTGTCGGATTTTTCCGAACGACCGTTTGTTATGATTGCATGAAAAGCTATTGCTTATGACTTGCTCAATTCAAACTGATTTAGATGGATTCTCATTCTTTTCAGATGTGTTGTATTCACTCTCATAGCTATTACATACGAATATCGTTCTCTTGATGAGTTTTTCTCATTCACTTCGTCTCAT